AGCGGAGGGAGGAGGAGCTGAGGCAAACCAAGGAGGCTGCAGAGGCGCATCACTGCCCTCTGTGTCTCCCCCCCTCTCTGTTGTGTGTGTCCCCCCCCACCCCCCCCTCTTGCCTGACTGTGTACCTTCCCTTCCCCTGGCTGTGTGTGTCCTTCGCATCCCTTTCCCCTTCCTCTTCAGCACATTGTGGCAGCGGGGCGGGACTGTGTGATCGTGGTGTGGCACGATATGCGGGAGGCGAAGCGGAGGGAGGAGGAGCTGAGGCAAACCAAGGAGGCTGCAGAGGCGCATCACTGCCCTCTGTGTCTCCCCCCCTCTCTGTTGTGTGTGTCCCCCCCCACCCCCCCCTCTTGCCTGACTGTGTACCTTCCCTTCCCCTGGCTGTGTGTGTCCTTCGCATCCCTTTCCCCTTCCTCTTCAGCACATTGTGGCAGCGGGGCGGGACTGTGTGATCGTGGTGTGGCACGATATGCGGGAGGCGAAGAGGAGGGAGGAGGAGCTGAGGCAAACCAAGGAGGCTGCAGAGGCGCATCACTGCCCTCTGTGTCTCCCCCCCTCTCTGTTGTGTGTGTCCCCCCCCACCCCCCCCTCTTGCCTGACTGTGTACCTTCCCTTCCCCTGGCTGTGTGTGTCCTTCGCATCCCTTTCCCCTTCCTCTTCAGCACATTGTGGCAGCGGGGCGGGACTGTGTGATCGTGGTGTGGCACGATATGCGGGAGGCGAAGAGGAGGGAGGAGGAGCTGAGGCAAACCAAGGAGGCTGCAGAGGCGCATCACTGCCCTCTGTGTCTCCCCCCCTCTCTGTTGTGTGTGTCCCCCCCCCCCCCCCTCTTGCCTGACTGTGTACCTTCCCTTCCCCTGGCTGTGTGTGTCCTTCGCATCCCTTTCCCCTTCCTCTTCAGCACATTGTGGCAGCGGGGCGGGACTGTGTGATCGTGGTGTGGCACGATATGCGGGAGGCGAAGAGGAGGGAGGAGGAGCTGAGGCAAACCAAGGAGGCTGCAGAGGCGCATCACTGCCCTCTGTGTCTCCCCCCCTCTCTGTTGTGTGTGTCCCCCCCCCCCCCCCTCTTGCCTGACTGTGTACCTTCCCTTCCCCTGGCTGTGTGTGTCCTTCGCATCCCTTTCCCCTTCCTCTTCAGCACATTGTGGCAGCGGGGCGGGACTGTGTGATCGTGGTGTGGCACGATATGCGGGAGGCGAAGCGGAGGGAGGAGGAGCTGAGGCAAACCAAGGAGGCTGCAGAGGCGCATCACTGCCCTCTGTGTCTCCCCCCCCTCTCTGTTGTGTGTGTCCCCCCCCACCCCCCCCTCTTGCCTGACTGTGTACCTTCCCTTCCCCTGGCTGTGTGTGTCCTTCGCATCCCTTTCCCCTTCCTCTTCAGCACATTGTGGCAGCGGGGCGGGACTGTGTGATCGTGGTGTGGCACGATATGCGGGAGGCGAAGAGGAGGGAGGAGGAGCTGAGGCAAACCAAGGAGGCTGCAGAGGCGCATCACTGCCCTCTGTGTCTCCCCCCCTCTCTGTTGTGTGTGTCCCCCCCCACCCCCCCCTCTTGCCTGACTGTGTACCTTCCCTTCCCCTGGCTGTGTGTGTCCTTCGCATCCCTTTCCCCTTCCTCTTCAGCACATTGTGGCAGCGGGGCGGGACTGTGTGATCGTGGTGTGGCACGATATGCGGGAGGCGAAGCGGAGGGAGGAGGAGCTGAGGCAAACCAAGGAGGCTGCAGAGGCGCATCACTGCCCTCTGTGTCTCCCCCCCTCTCTGTTGTGTGTGTCCCCCCCCACCCCCCCCTCTTGCCTGACTGTGTACCTTCCCTTCCCCTGGCTGTGTGTGTCCTTCGCATCCCTTTCCCCTTCCTCTTCAGCACATTGTGGCAGCGGGGCGGGACTGTGTGATCGTGGTGTGGCACGATATGCGGGAGGCGAAGAGGAGGGAGGAGGAGCTGAGGCAAACCAAGGAGGCTGCAGAGGCGCATCACTGCCCTCTGTGTCTCCCCCCCTCTCTGTTGTGTGTGTCCCCCCCCACCCCCCCCTCTTGCCTGACTGTGTACCTTCCCTTCCCCTGGCTGTGTGTGTCCTTCGCATCCCTTTCCCCTTCCTCTTCAGCACATTGTGGCAGCGGGGCGGGACTGTGTGATCGTGGTGTGGCACGATATGCGGGAGGCGAAGAGGAGGGAGGAGGAGCTGAGGCAAACCAAGGAGGCTGCAGAGGCGCATCACTGCCCTCTGTGTCTCCCCCCCTCTCTGTTGTGTGTGTCCCCCCCCCCCCCCCTCTTGCCTGACTGTGTACCTTCCCTTCCCCTGGCTGTGTGTGTCCTTCGCATCCCTTTCCCCTTCCTCTTCAGCACATTGTGGCAGCGGGGCGGGACTGTGTGATCGTGGTGTGGCACGATATGCGGGAGGCGAAGAGGAGGGAGGAGGAGCTGAGGCAAACCAAGGAGGCTGCAGAGGCGCATCACTGCCCTCTGTGTCTCCCCCCCTCTCTGTTGTGTGTGTCCCCCCCCCCCCCCCTCTTGCCTGACTGTGTACCTTCCCTTCCCCTGGCTGTGTGTGTCCTTCGCATCCCTTTCCCCTTCCTCTTCAGCACATTGTGGCAGCGGGGCGGGACTGTGTGATCGTGGTGTGGCACGATATGCGGGAGGCGAAGCGGAGGGAGGAGGAGCTGAGGCAAACCAAGGAGGCTGCAGAGGCGCATCACTGCCCTCTGTGTCTCCCCCCCTCTCTGTTGTGTGTGTCCCCCCCCACCCCCCCCTCTTGCCTGACTGTGTACCTTCCCTTCCCCTGGCTGTGTGTGTCCTTCGCATCCCTTTCCCCTTCCTCTTCAGCACATTGTGGCAGCGGGGCGGGACTGTGTGATCGTGGTGTGGCACGATATGCGGGAGGCGAAGAGGAGGGAGGAGGAGCTGAGGCAAACCAAGGAGGCTGCAGAGGCGCATCACTGCCCTCTGTGTCTCCCCCCCTCTCTGTTGTGTGTGTCCCCCCCCACCCCCCCCTCTTGCCTGACTGTGTACCTTCCCTTCCCCTGGCTGTGTGTGTCCTTCGCATCCCTTTCCCCTTCCTCTTCAGCACATTGTGGCAGCGGGGCGGGACTGTGTGATCGTGGTGTGGCACGATATGCGGGAGGCGAAGAGGAGGGAGGAGGAGCTGAGGCAAACCAAGGAGGCTGCAGAGGCGCATCACTGCCCTCTGTGTCTCCCCCCCTCTCTGTTGTGTGTGTCCCCCCCCCCCCCCCTCTTGCCTGACTGTGTACCTTCCCTTCCCCTGGCTGTGTGTGTCCTTCGCATCCCTTTCCCCTTCCTCTTCAGCACATTGTGGCAGCGGGGCGGGACTGTGTGATCGTGGTGTGGCACGATATGCGGGAGGCGAAGCGGAGGGAGGAGGAGCTGAGGCAAACCAAGGAGGCTGCAGAGGCGCATCACTGCCCTCTGTGTCTCCCCCCCTCTCTGTTGTGTGTGTCCCCCCCCACCCCCCCCTCTTGCCTGACTGTGTACCTTCCCTTCCCCTGGCTGTGTGTGTCCTTCGCATCCCTTTCCCCTTCCTCTTCAGCACATTGTGGCAGCGGGGCGGGACTGTGTGATCGTGGTGTGGCACGATATGCGGGAGGCGAAGAGGAGGGAGGAGGAGCTGAGGCAAACCAAGGAGGCTGCAGAGGCGCATCACTGCCCTCTGTGTCTCCCCCCCTCTCTGTTGTGTGTGTCCCCCCCCACCCCCCCCTCTTGCCTGACTGTGTACCTTCCCTTCCCCTGGCTGTGTGTGTCCTTCGCATCCCTTTCCCCTTCCTCTTCAGCACATTGTGGCAGCGGGGCGGGACTGTGTGATCGTGGTGTGGCACGATATGCGGGAGGCGAAGAGGAGGGAGGAGGAGCTGAGGCAAACCAAGGAGGCTGCAGAGGCGCATCACTGCCCTCTGTGTCTCCCCCCCTCTCTGTTGTGTGTGTCCCCCCCCCCCCCCTCTTGCCTGACTGTGTACCTTCCCTTCCCCTGGCTGTGTGTGTCCTTCGCATCCCTTTCCCCTTCCTCTTCAGCACATTGTGGCAGCGGGGGCGGGACTGTGTGATCGTGGTGTGGCACGATATGCGGGAGGCGAAGAGGAGGGAGGAGGAGCTGAGGCAAACCAAGGAGGCTGCAGAGGCGCATCACTGCCCTCTGTGTCTCCCCCCCTCTCTGTTGTGTGTGTCCCCCCCCCCCCCCCCTCTTGCCTGACTGTGTACCTTCCCTTCCCCTGGCTGTGTGTGTCCTTCGCATCCCTTTCCCCTTCCTCTTCAGCACATTGTGGCAGCGGGGCGGGACTGTGTGATCGTGGTGTGGCACGATATGCGGGAGGCGAAGCGGAGGGAGGAGGAGCTGAGGCAAACCAAGGAGGCTGCAGAGGCGCATCACTGCCCTCTGTGTCTCCCCCCCTCTCTGTTGTGTGTGTCCCCCCCCACCCCCCCCTCTTGCCTGACTGTGTACCTTCCCTTCCCCTGGCTGTGTGTGTCCTTCGCATCCCTTTCCCCTTCCTCTTCAGCACATTGTGGCAGCGGGGCGGGACTGTGTGATCGTGGTGTGGCACGATATGCGGGAGGCGAAGAGGAGGGAGGAGGAGCTGAGGCAAACCAAGGAGGCTGCAGAGGCGCATCACTGCCCTCTGTGTCTCCCCCCCTCTCTGTTGTGTGTGTCCCCCCCCACCCCCCCCTCTTGCCTGACTGTGTACCTTCCCTTCCCCTGGCTGTGTGTGTCCTTCGCATCCCTTTCCCCTTCCTCTTCAGCACATTGTGGCAGCGGGGCGGGACTGTGTGATCGTGGTGTGGCACGATATGCGGGAGGCGAAGAGGAGGGAGGAGGAGCTGAGGCAAACCAAGGAGGCTGCAGAGGCGCATCACTGCCCTCTGTGTCTCCCCCCCTCTCTGTTGTGTGTGTCCCCCCCCCCCCCCCCTCTTGCCTGACTGTGTACCTTCCCTTCCCCTGGCTGTGTGTGTCCTTCGCATCCCTTTCCCCTTCCTCTTCAGCACATTGTGGCAGCGGGGCGGGACTGTGTGATCGTGGTGTGGCACGATATGCGGGAGGCGAAGCGGAGGGAGGAGGAGCTGAGGCAAACCAAGGAGGCTGCAGAGGCGCATCACTGCCCTCTGTGTCTCCCCCCCTCTCTGTTGTGTGTGTCCCCCCCCCACCCCCCCCTCTTGCCTGACTGTGTACCTTCCCTTCCCCTGGCTGTGTGTGTCCTTCGCATCCCTTTCCCCTTCCTCTTCAGCACATTGTGGCAGCGGGGCGGGACTGTGTGATCGTGGTGTGGCACGATATGCGGGAGGCGAAGCGGAGGGAGGAGGAGCTGAGGCAAACCAAGGAGGCTGCAGAGGCGCATCACTGCCCTCTGTGTCTCCCCCCCTCTCTGTTGTGTGTGTCCCCCCCCCCCCCCCTCTTGCCTGACTGTGTACCTTCCCTTCCCCTGGCTGTGTGTGTCCTTCGCATCCCTTTCCCCTTCCTCTTCAGCACATTGTGGCAGCGGGGCGGGACTGTGTGATCGTGGTGTGGCACGATATGCGGGAGGCGAAGAGGAGGGAGGAGGAGCTGAGGCAAACCAAGGAGGCTGCAGAGGCGCATCACTGCCCTCTGTGTCTCCCCCCCTCTCTGTTGTGTGTGTCCCCCCCCACCCCCCCCTCTTGCCTGACTGTGTACCTTCCCTTCCCCTGGCTGTGTGTGTCCTTCGCATCCCTTTCCCCTTCCTCTTCAGCACATTGTGGCAGCGGGGCGGGACTGTGTGATCGTGGTGTGGCACGATATGCGGGAGGCGAAGAGGAGGGAGGAGGAGCTGAGGCAAACCAAGGAGGCTGCAGAGGCGCATCACTGCCCTCTGTGTCTCCCCCCCTCTCTGTTGTGTGTGTCCCCCCCCCCCCCCCTCTTGCCTGACTGTGTACCTTCCCTTCCCCTGGCTGTGTGTGTCCTTCGCATCCCTTTCCCCTTCCTCTTCAGCACATTGTGGCAGCGGGGCGGGACTGTGTGATCGTGGTGTGGCACGATATGCGGGAGGCGAAGCGGAGGGAGGAGGAGCTGAGGCAAACCAAGGAGGCTGCAGAGGCGCATCACTGCCCTCTGTGTCTCCCCCCCTCTCTGTTGTGTGTGTCCCCCCCCACCCCCCCCTCTTGCCTGACTGTGTACCTTCCCTTCCCCTGGCTGTGTGTGTCCTTCGCATCCCTTTCCCCTTCCTCTTCAGCACATTGTGGCAGCGGGGCGGGACTGTGTGATCGTGGTGTGGCACGATATGCGGGAGGCGAAGCGGAGGGAGGAGGAGCTGAGGCAAACCAAGGAGGCTGCAGAGGCGCATCACTGCCCTCTGTGTCTCCCCCCCTCTCTGTTGTGTGTGTCCCCCCCCCCCCCCCCTCTTGCCTGACTGTGTACCTTCCCTTCCCCTGGCTGTGTGTGTCCTTCGCATCCCTTTCCCCTTCCTCTTCAGCACATTGTGGCAGCGGGGCGGGACTGTGTGATCGTGGTGTGGCACGATATGCGGGAGGCGAAGCGGAGGGAGGAGGAGCTGAGGCAAACCAAGGAGGCTGCAGAGGCGCATCACTGCCCTCTGTGTCTCCCCCCCCTCTCTGTTGTGTGTGTCCCCCCCCCACCCCCCCCTCTTGCCTGACTGTGTACCTTCCCTTCCCCTGGCTGTGTGTGTCCTTCGCATCCCTTTCCCCTTCCTCTTCAGCACATTGTGGCAGCGGGGCGGGACTGTGTGATCGTGGTGTGGCACGATATGCGGGAGGCGAAGCGGAGGGAGGAGGAGCTGAGGCAAACCAAGGAGGCTGCAGAGGCGCATCACTGCCCTCTGTGTCTCCCCCCCTCTCTGTTGTGTGTGTCCCCCCCCCCCCCCCTCTTGCCTGACTGTGTACCTTCCCTTCCCCTGGCTGTGTGTGTCCTTCGCATCCCTTTCCCCTTCCTCTTCAGCACATTGTGGCAGCGGGGCGGGACTGTGTGATCGTGGTGTGGCACGATATGCGGGAGGCGAAGCGGAGGGAGGAGGAGCTGAGGCAAACCAAGGAGGCTGCAGAGGCGCATCACTGCCCTCTGTGTCTCCCCCCCTCTCTGTTGTGTGTGTCCCCCCCCACCCCCCCCCTCTTGCCTGACTGTGTACCTTCCCTTCCCCTGGCTGTGTGTGTCCTTCGCATCCCTTTCCCCTTCCTCTTCAGCACATTGTGGCAGCGGGGCGGGACTGTGTGATCGTGGTGTGGCACGATATGCGGGAGGCGAAGCGGAGGGAGGAGGAGCTGAGGCAAACCAAGGAGGCTGCAGAGGCGCATCACTGCCCTCTGTGTCTCCCCCCCTCTCTGTTGTGTGTGTCCCCCCCCCCCCCCCTCTTGCCTGACTGTGTACCTTCCCTTCCCCTGGCTGTGTGTGTCCTTCGCATCCCTTTCCCCTTCCTCTTCAGCACATTGTGGCAGCGGGGCGGGACTGTGTGATCGTGGTGTGGCACGATATGCGGGAGGCGAAGAGGAGGGAGGAGGAGCTGAGGCAAACCAAGGAGGCTGCAGAGGCGCATCACTGCCCTCTGTGTCTCCCCCCCTCTCTGTTGTGTGTGTCCCCCCCCCCCCCCCTCTTGCCTGACTGTGTACCTTCCCTTCCCCTGGCTGTGTGTGTCCTTCGCATCCCTTTCCCCTTCCTCTTCAGCACATTGTGGCAGCGGGGCGGGACTGTGTGATCGTGGTGTGGCACGATATGCGGGAGGCGAAGCGGAGGGAGGAGGAGCTGAGGCAAACCAAGGAGGCTGCAGAGGCGCATCACTGCCCTCTGTGTCTCCCCCCCTCTCTGTTGTGTGTGTCCCCCCCCACCCCCCCCTCTTGCCTGACTGTGTACCTTCCCTTCCCCTGGCTGTGTGTGTCCTTCGCATCCCTTTCCCCTTCCTCTTCAGCACATTGTGGCAGCGGGGCGGGACTGTGTGATCGTGGTGTGGCACGATATGCGGGAGGCGAAGCGGAGGGAGGAGGAGCTGAGGCAAACCAAGGAGGCTGCAGAGGCGCATCACTGCCCTCTGTGTCTCCCCCCCTCTCTGTTGTGTGTGTCCCCCCCCCCCCCCCCTCTTGCCTGACTGTGTACCTTCCCTTCCCCTGGCTGTGTGTGTCCTTCGCATCCCTTTCCCCTTCCTCTTCAGCACATTGTGGCAGCGGGGCGGGACTGTGTGATCGTGGTGTGGCACGATATGCGGGAGGCGAAGCGGAGGGAGGAGGAGCTGAGGCAAACCAAGGAGGCTGCAGAGGCGCATCACTGCCCTCTGTGTCTCCCCCCCTCTCTGTTGTGTGTGTCCCCCCCCACCCCCCCCTCTTGCCTGACTGTGTACCTTCCCTTCCCCTGGCTGTGTGTGTCCTTCGCATCCCTTTCCCCTTCCTCTTCAGCACATTGTGGCAGCGGGGCGGGACTGTGTGATCGTGGTGTGGCACGATATGCGGGAGGCGAAGCGGAGGGAGGAGGAGCTGAGGCAAACCAAGGAGGCTGCAGAGGCGCATCACTGCCCTCTGTGTCTCCCCCCCTCTCTGTTGTGTGTGTCCCCCCCCACCCCCCCCTCTTGCCTGACTGTGTACCTTCCCTTCCCCTGGCTGTGTGTGTCCTTCGCATCCCTTTCCCCTTCCTCTTCAGCACATTGTGGCAGCGGGGCGGGACTGTGTGATCGTGGTGTGGCACGATATGCGGGAGGCGAAGCGGAGGGAGGAGGAGCTGAGGCAAACCAAGGAGGCTGCAGAGGCGCATCACTGCCCTCTGTGTCTCCCCCCCTCTCTGTTGTGTGTGTCCCCCCCCACCCCCCCCTCTTGCCTGACTGTGTACCTTCCCTTCCCCTGGCTGTGTGTGTCCTTCGCATCCCTTTCCCCTTCCTCTTCAGCACATTGTGGCAGCGGGGCGGGACTGTGTGATCGTGGTGTGGCACGATATGCGGGAGGCGAAGCGGAGGGAGGAGGAGCTGAGGCAAACCAAGGAGGCTGCAGAGGCGCATCACTGCCCTCTGTGTCTCCCCCCCTCTCTGTTGTGTGTGTCCCCCCCCCACCCCCCCCTCTTGCCTGACTGTGTACCTTCCCTTCCCCTGGCTGTGTGTGTCCTTCGCATCCCTTTCCCCTTCCTCTTCAGCACATTGTGGCAGCGGGGCGGGACTGTGTGATCGTGGTGTGGCACGATATGCGGGAGGCGAAGAGGAGGGAGGAGGAGCTGAGGCAAACCAAGGAGGCTGCAGAGGCGCATCACTGCCCTCTGTGTCTCCCCCCCTCTCTGTTGTGTGTGTCCCCCCCCCCCCCCCTCTTGCCTGACTGTGTACCTTCCCTTCCCCTGGCTGTGTGTGTCCTTCGCATCCCTTTCCCCTTCCTCTTCAGCACATTGTGGCAGCGGGGCGGGACTGTGTGATCGTGGTGTGGCACGATATGCGGGAGGCGAAGCGGAGGGAGGAGGAGCTGAGGCAAACCAAGGAGGCTGCAGAGGCGCATCACTGCCCTCTGTGTCTCCCCCCCTCTCTGTTGTGTGTGTCCCCCCCCACCCCCCCCTCTTGCCTGACTGTGTACCTTCCCTTCCCCTGGCTGTGTGTGTCCTTCGCATCCCTTTCCCCTTCCTCTTCAGCACATTGTGGCAGCGGGGCGGGACTGTGTGATCGTGGTGTGGCACGATATGCGGGAGGCGAAGAGGAGGGAGGAGGAGCTGAGGCAAACCAAGGAGGCTGCAGAGGCGCATCACTGCCCTCTGTGTCTCCCCCCCTCTCTGTTGTGTGTGTCCCCCCCCACCCCCCCCTCTTGCCTGACTGTGTACCTTCCCTTCCCCTGGCTGTGTGTGTCCTTCGCATCCCTTTCCCCTTCCTCTTCAGCACATTGTGGCAGCGGGGCGGGACTGTGTGATCGTGGTGTGGCACGATATGCGGGAGGCGAAGAGGAGGGAGGAGGAGCTGAGGCAAACCAAGGAGGCTGCAGAGGCGCATCACTGCCCTCTGTGTCTCCCCCCCTCTCTGTTGTGTGTGTCCCCCCCCCCCCCCCTCTTGCCTGACTGTGTACCTTCCCTTCCCCTGGCTGTGTGTGTCCTTCGCATCCCTTTCCCCTTCCTCTTCAGCACATTGTGGCAGCGGGGCGGGACTGTGTGATCGTGGTGTGGCACGATATGCGGGAGGCGAAGCGGAGGGAGGAGGAGCTGAGGCAAACCAAGGAGGCTGCAGAGGCGCATCACTGCCCTCTGTGTCTCCCCCCCTCTCTGTTGTGTGTGTCCCCCCCCACCCCCCCCTCTTGCCTGACTGTGTACCTTCCCTTCCCCTGGCTGTGTGTGTCCTTCGCATCCCTTTCCCCTTCCTCTTCAGCACATTGTGGCAGCGGGGCGGGACTGTGTGATCGTGGTGTGGCACGATATGCGGGAGGCGAAGCGGAGGGAGGAGGAGCTGAGGCAAACCAAGGAGGCTGCAGAGGCGCATCACTGCCCTCTGTGTCTCCCCCCCTCTCTGTTGTGTGTGTCCCCCCCCACCCCCCCCTCTTGCCTGACTGTGTACCTTCCCTTCCCCTGGCTGTGTGTGTCCTTCGCATCCCTTTCCCCTTCCTCTTCAGCACATTGTGGCAGCGGGGCGGGACTGTGTGATCGTGGTGTGGCACGATATGCGGGAGGCGAAGAGGAGGGAGGAGGAGCTGAGGCAAACCAAGGAGGCTGCAGAGGCGCATCACTGCCCTCTGTGTCTCCCCCCCTCTCTGTTGTGTGTGTCCCCCCCCACCCCCCCCCTCTTGCCTGACTGTGTACCTTCCCTTCCCCTGGCTGTGTGTGTCCTTCGCATCCCTTTCCCCTTCCTCTTCAGCACATTGTGGCAGCGGGGCGGGACTGTGTGATCGTGGTGTGGCACGATATGCGGGAGGCGAAGCGGAGGGAGGAGGAGCTGAGGCAAACCAAGGAGGCTGCAGAGGCGCATCACTGCCCTCTGTGTCTCCCCCCCTCTCTGTTGTGTGTGTCCCCCCCCACCCCCCCCTCTTGCCTGACTGTGTACCTTCCCTTCCCCTGGCTGTGTGTGTCCTTCGCATCCCTTTCCCCTTCCTCTTCAGCACATTGTGGCAGCGGGGCGGGACTGTGTGATCGTGGTGTGGCACGATATGCGGGAGGCGAAGCGGAGGGAGGAGGAGCTGAGGCAAACCAAGGAGGCTGCAGAGGCGCATCACTGCCCTCTGTGTCTCCCCCCCTCTCTGTTGTGTGTGTCCCCCCCCACCCCCCCCTCTTGCCTGACTGTGTACCTTCCCTTCCCCTGGCTGTGTGTGTCCTTCGCATCCCTTTCCCCTTCCTCTTCAGCACATTGTGGCAGCGGGGCGGGACTGTGTGATCGTGGTGTGGCACGATATGCGGGAGGCGAAGAGGAGGGAGGAGGAGCTGAGGCAAACCAAGGAGGCTGCAGAGGCGCATCACTGCCCTCTGTGTCTCCCCCCCTCTCTGTTGTGTGTGTCCCCCCCCCCCCCCCTCTTGCCTGACTGTGTACCTTCCCTTCCCCTGGCTGTGTGTGTCCTTCGCATCCCTTTCCCCTTCCTCTTCAGCACATTGTGGCAGCGGGGCGGGACTGTGTGATCGTGGTGTGGCACGATATGCGGGAGGCGAAGCGGAGGGAGGAGGAGCTGAGGCAAACCAAGGAGGCTGCAGAGGCGCATCACTGCCCTCTGTGTCTCCCCCCCTCTCTGTTGTGTGTGTCCCCCCCCACCCCCCCCTCTTGCCTGACTGTGTACCTTCCCTTCCCCTGGCTGTGTGTGTCCTTCGCATCCCTTTCCCCTTCCTCTTCAGCACATTGTGGCAGCGGGGCGGGACTGTGTGATCGTGGTGTGGCACGATATGCGGGAGGCGAAGAGGAGGGAGGAGGAGCTGAGGCAAACCAAGGAGGCTGCAGAGGCGCATCACTGCCCTCTGTGTCTCCCCCCCTCTCTGTTGTGTGTGTCCCCCCCCCCCCCCCTCTTGCCTGACTGTGTACCTTCCCTTCCCCTGGCTGTGTGTGTCCTTCGCATCCCTTTCCCCTTCCTCTTCAGCACATTGTGGCAGCGGGGCGGGACTGTGTGATCGTGGTGTGGCACGATATGCGGGAGGCGAAGCGGAGGGAGGAGGAGCTGAGGCAAACCAAGGAGGCTGCAGAGGCGCATCACTGCCCTCTGTGTCTCCCCCCCTCTCTGTTGTGTGTGTCCCCCCCCACCCCCCCCTCTTGCCTGACTGTGTACCTTCCCTTCCCCTGGCTGTGTGTGTCCTTCGCATCCCTTTCCCCTTCCTCTTCAGCACATTGTGGCAGCGGGGCGGGACTGTGTGATCGTGGTGTGGCACGATATGCGGGAGGCGAAGCGGAGGGAGGAGGAGCTGAGGCAAACCAAGGAGGCTGCAGAGGCGCATCACTGCCCTCTGTGTCTCCCCCCCTCTCTGTTGTGTGTGTCCCCCCCCACCCCCCCCTCTTGCCTGACTGTGTACCTTCCCTTCCCCTGGCTGTGTGTGTCCTTCGCATCCCTTTCCCCTTCCTCTTCAGCACATTGTGGCAGCGGGGCGGGACTGTGTGATCGTGGTGTGGCACGATATGCGGGAGGCGAAGAGGAGGGAGGAGGAGCTGAGGCAAACCAAGGAGGCTGCAGAGGCGCATCACTGCCCTCTGTGTCTCCCCCCCTCTCTGTTGTGTGTGTCCCCCCCCACCCCCCCCTCTTGCCTGACTGTGTACCTTCCCTTCCCCTGGCTGTGTGTGTCCTTCGCATCCCTTTCCCCTTCCTCTTCAGCACATTGTGGCAGCGGGGCGGGACTGTGTGATCGTGGTGTGGCACGATATGCGGGAGGCGAAGCGGAGGGAGGAGGAGCTGAGGCAAACCAAGGAGGCTGCAGAGGCGCATCACTGCCCTCTGTGTCTCCCCCCCTCTCTGTTGTGTGTGTCCCCCCCCACCCCCCCCCTCTTGCCTGACTGTGTACCTTCCCTTCCCCTGGCTGTGTGTGTCCTTCGCATCCCTTTCCCCTTCCTCTTCAGCACATTGTGGCAGCGGGGCGGGACTGTGTGATCGTGGTGTGGCACGATATGCGGGAGGCGAAGCGGAGGGAGGAGGAGCTGAGGCAAACCAAGGAGGCTGCAGAGGCGCATCACTGCCCTCTGTGTCTCCCCCCCTCTCTGTTGTGTGTGTCCCCCCCCACCCCCCCCTCTTGCCTGACTGTGTACCTTCCCTTCCCCTGGCTGTGTGTGTCCTTCGCATCCCTTTCCCCTTCCTCTTCAGCACATTGTGGCAGCGGGGCGGGACTGTGTGATCGTGGTGTGGCACGATATGCGGGAGGCGAAGCGGAGGGAGGAGGAGCTGAGGCAAACCAAGGAGGCTGCAGAGGCGCATCACTGCCCTCTGTGTCTCCCCCCCTCTCTGTTGTGTGTGTCCCCCCCCACCCCCCCCCTCTTGCCTGACTGTGTACCTTCCCTTCCCCTGGCTGTGTGTGTCCTTCGCATCCCTTTCCCCTTCCTCTTCAGCACATTGTGGCAGCGGGGCGGGACTGTGTGATCGTGGTGTGGCACGATATGCGGGAGGCGAAGCGGAGGGAGGAGGAGCTGAGGCAAACCAAGGAGGCTGCAGAGGCGCATCACTGCCCTCTGTGTCTCCCCCCCTCTCTGTTGTGTGTGTCCCCCCCCACCCCCCCCTCTTGCCTGACTGTGTACCTTCCCTTCCCCTGGCTGTGTGTGTCCTTCGCATCCCTTTCCCCTTCCTCTTCAGCACATTGTGGCAGCGGGGCGGGACTGTGTGATCGTGGTGTGGCACGATATGCGGGAGGCGAAGCGGAGGGAGGAGGAGCTGAGGCAAACCAAGGAGGCTGCAGAGGCGCATCACTGCCCTCTGTGTCTCCCCCCCTCTCTGTTGTGTGTGTCCCCCCCCACCCCCCCCCTCTTGCCTGACTGTGTACCTTCCCTTCCCCTGGCTGTGTGTGTCCTTCGCATCCCTTTCCCCTTCCTCTTCAGCACATTGTGGCAGCGGGGCGGGACTGTGTGATCGTGGTGTGGCACGATATGCGGGAGGCGAAGAGGAGGGAGGAGGAGCTGAGGCAAACCAAGGAGGCTGCAGAGGCGCATCACTGCCCTCTGTGTCTCCCCCCCTCTCTGTTGTGTGTGTCCCCCCCCACCCCCCCCTCTTGCCTGACTGTGTACCTTCCCTTCCCCTGGCTGTGTGTGTCCTTCGCATCCCTTTCCCCTTCCTCTTCAGCACATTGTGGCAGCGGGGCGGGACTGTGTGATCGTGGTGTGGCACGATATGCGGGAGGCGAAGCGGAGGGAGGAGGAGCTGAGGCAAACCAAGGAGGCTGCAGAGGCGCATCACTGCCCTCTGTGTCTCCCCCCCTCTCTGTTGTGTGTGTCCCCCCCCACCCCCCCCTCTTGCCTGACTGTGTACCTTCCCTTCCCCTGGCTGTGTGTGTCCTTCGCATCCCTTTCCCCTTCCTCTTCAGCACATTGTGGCAGCGGGGCGGGACTGTGTGATCGTGGTGTGGCACGATATGCGGGAGGCGAAGCGGAGGGAGGAGGAGCTGAGGCAAACCAAGGAGGCTGCAGAGGCGCATCACTGCCCTCTGTGTCTCCCCCCCTCTCTGTTGTGTGTGTCCCCCCCCACCCCCCCCTCTTGCCTGACTGTGTACCTTCCCTTCCCCTGGCTGTGTGTGTCCTTCGCATCCCTTTCCCCTTCCTCTTCAGCACATTGTGGCAGCGGGGCGGGACTGTGTGATCGTGGTGTGGCACGATATGCGGGAGGCGAAGAGGAGGGAGGAGGAGCTGAGGCAAACCAAGGAGGCTGCAGAGGCGCATCACTGCCCTCTGTGTCTCCCCCCCTCTCTGTTGTGTGTGTCCCCCCCCCACCCCCCCCTCTTGCCTGACTGTGTACCTTCCCTTCCCCTGGCTGTGTGTGTCCTTCGCATCCCTTTCCCCTTCCTCTTCAGCACATTGTGGCAGCGGGGCGGGACTGTGTGATCGTGGTGTGGCACGATATGCGGGAGGCGAAGAGGAGGGAGGAGGAGCTGAGGCAAACCAAGGAGGCTGCAGAGGCGCATCACTGCCCTCTGTGTCTCCCCCCCTCTCTGTTGTGTGTGTCCCCCCCCCACCCCCCCCCTCTTGCCTGACTGTGTACCTTCCCTTCCCCTGGCTGTGTGTGTCCTTCGCATCCCTTTCCCCTTCCTCTTCAGCACATTGTGGCAGCGGGGCGGGACTGTGTGATCGTGGTGTGGCACGATATGCGGGAGGCGAAGAGGAGGGAGGAGGAGCTGAGGCAAACCAAGGAGGCTGCAGAGGCGCATCACTGCCCTCTGTGTCTCCCCCCCTCTCTGTTGTGTGTGTCCCCCCCCACCCCCCCCTCTTGCCTGACTGTGTACCTTCCCTTCCCCTGGCTGTGTGTGTCCTTCGCATCCCTTTCCCCTTCCTCTTCAGCACATTGTGGCAGCGGGGCGGGACTGTGTGATCGTGGTGTGGCACGATATGCGGGAGGCGAAGCGGAGGGAGGAGGAGCTGAGGCAAACCAAGGAGGCTGCAGAGGCGCATCACTGCCCTCTGTGTCTCCCCCCCTCTCTGTTGTGTGTGTCCCCCCCCACCCCCCCCCTCTTGCCTGACTGTGTACCTTCCCTTCCCCTGGCTGTGTGTGTCCTTCGCATCCCTTTCCCCTTCCTCTTCAGCACATTGTGGCAGCGGGGCGGGACTGTGTGATCGTGGTGTGGCACGATATGCGGGAGGCGAAGCGGAGGGAGGAGGAGCTGAGGCAAACCAAGGAGGCTGCAGAGGCGCATCACTGCCCTCTGTGTCTCCCCCCCTCTCTGTTGTGTGTGTCCCCCCCCACCCCCCCCTCTTGCCTGACTGTGTACCTTCCCTTCCCCTGGCTGTGTGTGTCCTTCGCATCCCTTTCCCCTTCCTCTTCAGCACATTGTGGCAGCGGGGCGGGACTGTGTGATCGTGGTGTGGCACGATATGCGGGAGGCGAAGCGGAGGGAGGAGGAGCTGAGGCAGGCTAAAGAAGCAGCAGAGGCGGCCAGCCGCGCCAAGACACAGTTCCTGGCCAACATGAGCCACGAGCTGCGCACTCCCATGAATGGTAAGTCATTACCTCAGCGAGGGGATAGCTGTAACTAGATGTACGTGAGCGAGGGGATAGCTGTAACTAGATGTACGTGAGCGAGGGGATAGCTGTAACTAGATGTACGTGTGCGAGGGGATAGCTGTAACTAGATGTACGTGAGCGAGGGGATAGCTGTAACTAGATGTACGTGTGCGAGGGGATAGCTGTAACTAGATGTACGTGTGCGAGGGGATAGCTGTAACTAGATGTACGTGAGCGAGGGGATAGCTGTAACTAGATGTACGTGTGCGAGGGGATAGCTGTAACTAGATGTACGTGTGCGAGGGGATAGCTGTAACTAGATGTACGTGTGCGAGGGGATAGCTGTAACTAGATGTACGTGTGCGAGGGGATAGCTGTAACTAGATGTACGTGTGCGAGGGGATAGCTGTAACTAGATGTACGTGTGCGAGGGGATAGCTGTAACTAGATGTACGTGTGCGAGGGGATAGCTGTAACTAGATGTACGTGTGCGATGGGATAGCTGTAACTAGATGTACGTGTGTAATGAGTCGTGTTTTGAGTCGACTCAAAACATTATCTCAGCGAGGGGATAGCTGTAACTAGATGTACGTACGTGTGCGTACCCGTATCAGTCAGTTGGTGATTGACAGCAAATCGGTGCTTATCACATGTCTGAAATACAGCTAGCCGCGCCAAGACACAGTTCCTGGCCAACATGAGCCACGAGCTACGCACTCCCATGAATGGTAAGTGGTGGATGTTGCTGGGTGATTGGCAGCAGTGGGCGATCGATAAGGGGTGCTTGGCAGTAAATAAGTGGATGGAGTTTGAGACGTCTCAAGGCTCAGACGACTGAATGGTGGTTTGTGATTGGATGGGGATTTTACCGAAAAGGCATGAGGTTGTGATGTCTCATCCCCCAGGCGTGTTGGGGGTGGTGGAGCTGCTGCTGGCATCAGGCGTGAGTGGCGAGCAGAGGGCGCTGCTACAGGTCGTGTGGGCATCAGGGGAGAGCCTCGTGCGTTGCCATAACTACACACTCACACGTTCGCCCCTCCCTCCCTCCCTCCCTCCCTCCCTCCTTCCGTGCTGCATCACCAGGCGTGCTGGGGGTGGTGGAGCTGTTGCTCGGCTCAGGCGTGAGTGGGGAGCAGAGGGCGCTGCAACAGGTCGTGCAGGCATGAGGGGAGAGCCAAGTGAGGTGCCTTGAAAACCCTCACTCACACCTTCGCCCCTTCCACCCTCCTTCCTTCCCCAGGCGTGTTGGGGGTGGTGGAGCTGTTGCTCGGCTCGGGCGTGAGCAGCGAGCAGAGGGCGCTGCTGCAGGTCGTGAGGGCATCGGGCGAGAGCCTCGTGCGAATCCTCTCCGACCTCCTTGATATCACGCGCATCGAGTCCCACTCCCTCGCTCTCTCCCTCGCGCCCTTCTGCCTTCACTCGGCCATTGACAGTACTCTCTCTCTCATGAGAGTCGTTGCCATGAAGAAAGGGCTGCAGGTGTGTGTCTCTCGCTTTCACTCTCGCTCCCACTGGTCCCTTCTGTCTCCGCGCTGTCATTGAGAGCACTGTTGCTCTCATGCGCGCTGTTGCCGTCAGGCTCAGCTGAAAGGGTTGCAGGTAAAGTATTTCGCCTCTCCTCATCAGTTCTGTATCAGGCTGAAGTTTTTTGAGGTGAAATACTGCTGAGTGGGACTTGTTTTTTGTATCAAAACACGTCCCACTCCCAAACGAGGCCTCTTGCCTCCCCTCTCCCTATCCCCTTCCTCATCTCTCGCTCCCTTCCCCATTTCTCCCCTTTGGCCTTTGCCAGCTGTCAGTCAGCATCGATCCATGGGCGCCGCAGGAGGTGGTGGGCGATGCAATGCGGTTCCGTCAGGTGCTGCTCAACCTGCTTTCGAATGCCATCAAATTCACCGATAGGTGAGTAGCAACTATGGTTCTACGTTTAATGAGTGCGACTACTGTAAACATGGTTATTTATTTACCACTCACCACTCTCATCCGCTTTCGCCTGCTGCCCTACCCTCCTCTCTTGCGCTCTTTTCCCTTCCCTTGATTCACTACACGAAGTTACCCCGTTGCTGCTCACCACTCTCTTGCTGCCCTCACCCCTCCCCCCTGTGTATGCCTCCCTATTCCAGAGGCTCTGTGGCAGTGCATGTGACCAGGCTGCACAAACCCGCTCCCTCACATGTCACCGGGGAGGCTAGTGGGGGTAGGCTCTGGGTTGGCCCGCCCTGGTCTGCCGAATGTGTGCATAGGGGTGGTGATAACAGGCCTGTTCATCATAGGAGAGGGGAGTGTAGTGTGGAGGACACTAGGCAGGATAGGGGAGCAGGAGGAAATGGAGGAGCAGGAGGAGGAGAAGAAATAGAAGTGGGAGCAGCAGCGGGAGGAGCAGGAGGAGGCAGTGGTGGAGGTGGGGTTGAAATTTTCCAGGGAAAGAAGAGGCAGAGGGAGGGAGAGGGGCCGGGTGAGGAGGAGAGCAGTGGAGGGGTGAACAAGAAGGGATGGTCTGATTCTGCTCAAACGGCAAGAGTAGAGCAGGAGAGAAGTGGCTGGGTGGAGTTGGAGAGGACTGAAAGGGAGGAAGGAGGATTGAAGGGAGGGATGAGGGTGGAGCCGAGCGGATGGCTAGAGCACTTGACCCACGTGGAGATGAGTCAGGAGGGGCAGGACGGGCAGCAGGGGCAGCAGGGGCGGCAACAGGGGCAGCAGAAGCAGCAGGAGGGGCAGGAGAGGCAGCAGGCGGGGCAGCAGGGGGAGCAGGAGGGGCAGGAGGGGCAGCAGCAGGGGCAGCAGCAGGGCCAGCAGGGGGAGCAGGAGGGGCAGGAGGGGCAGCAGCAGGGGCAGCAGCAGGGGCAGCAGGGGGAGCAGTGGGTGGAGTGGGTGCAGGTGAGGGTGGAAGACACGGGCATAGGCATGCCACCCCACGTCATACCCCACATCTTCCACCCCTTCACTCAAGCCGACTCCTCCTCCTCACGCCGCTTCGGAGGCACCGGGCTGGGACTTGCCATCTGTCACTCGCTCATTGGCCTCATGGGTGGGGAGGTCTCTGTGGAGAGTCGGCCCGGAGTTGGGTCGGCTTTCACCGTCTGCATCCCGTTTGGGAAAGCTCGAGCGGATGAGGCGGTGGTGGGTGGGATGGATAAGCCTTCCCAAAATGCACCTACACGGGAGGCCATCCAAGAACCGCAAACCACCTTCCCTGCTGCTACCTCCCTTGCTCCGTGTCCCCTTCCCAATCCTGCACCTTCCGCTTCCCATGTGCCCTCCTCTCCCTGTGCTGCTGCACTTCAGACTGCCCCTGAACTACCAGCTCCAAAATTACCTGAACCAAAACCACCCGCCCCAGCACTACCTGTCTCTGAAGCAACCACCCCAGCACCACATGCCCCTGAACCACCTACCTCAGAAGCACCTGCCCCAGGATCAGAGAGTAACGCATCATTCCCCGTTCAGGCTGTATCAGTACACCCTCCCCCAGTCCAACCTTCCCGTGCCTCAGAACCACCTAACGCAGAAGCTGAGAGTAACGCATTGCTCCCTCTTCCTCCTCGTTCTCGTTTTAAGGCGATTCAGAGCAGTCCCTTGTGCGCTGATCTGACTAAGCATCTTAGGGCAACTAACCGTGCTGCTGATCTTGCAACTGATTGTGCAACTGACCATCCAAGGGACCAGCCAACTAATGCAACTGACCGTCCAAGGGACCAGCCAACTTATGCAACTGACCGTCGAAGGGACCAGCCAACTAATGCAACTGAGCAGGCAACTAATGTAACTGACCAGGCCACTGGCCAGGCCACTAACCAAGCAACTGACCAAGCAGCTGACGAGGCAACTAACAGTGTTCATTTAAACGAAGCCCTTGAGCGCGTGTGTAACCGCATCAGCATCAGCGGCAGTAGCAGCAATGTCAGCGGCAGCAGGGGTGGCAGCAGGGACAGCGGCGGCAGCGGTGACACCTGTGGCACGGCAGGAATTGTAGCAGCAGAGGAGAGTGTGAGATCTCATGCTGGTGTGATTAGGAGAGGAGGGGAGACACATGAGGTGGACCGGGAGGTGAAGAGAGCCTGTGTCAGACAGCAGAGGGGTAAGCAGGGCAGTGGGCCATATGCAACTGAAGAACAATCACCGGATGAAGAAGCACAGGAGCAGAGAGAGCAGGGAGGGCAGGAAGGGCGGACAGAGCCGCAGGTGAAGGGGCATGGTACAGATGGTGAAGCAGAGGAGAAGAAGTCACCGTTTGAGGGGATGAGGTGTCTGGTAGCGGAGGACAACAGAGTGAACCAGCTGGTGGTGACTCGCATGCTGCACAGCCTGGGCGTGGCGTGTGACGTGGCCGTCAATGGCCAGGAAGCTGTTGATAAGTGTGCTCAGCGGGACTATGACCTCGTTCTCATGGTGAGTCATTCAAGGCATATAGAGGAGTCACCTTATATCGAGTCATTCAGGACGTGTCATGGGGCTGTGGGGTGAACCAGCTGGTGGTGACGCGCATGCTGCACAAAGAGGCACTACGACCTGGTGCTCATGGTGAGTCGTCCTATAGTAAGTCCTCTTATAGTGAGTCATTCAAGGTGGTCATGGGACTGTGGGGTGAACCAGCTGGTGGTGACTCGCATGCTGCACAAAGAGGCACTACGACCTGGTGCTCATGGTGAGTCGTCCGTCCTATAGTAAGTCCTCTTATAGTGAGTCATTCAAGGTGGTCATGGGACTGTGGGGTGAACCAGCTGGTGGTGACTCGCATGCTGCACAGCCTGGGAGTGGCGTGTGACGTGGCTGTCAATGGCTGGGAGGCCGTTGCCAAGTGTGCACAGCGGGACTACGACCTGGTGCTCATGGTGAGTCGTCTTATAGTGAGACGTTCAAGGCATCTTATTGTGAGTGGGTGGGGTGAAGCAGCTGGTGGTGACGCGCATGCTGCACAGTATCTTGTTCTCATGGTTTTTCCTTGTTTTCCTGCATCCTACTCTGGACGTACCCTCGTGCGCTTGACTACAGGACTGCCATATGCCTGAGATGGATGGATTTGAGGCAACGCGCCTCATTCGGCAACATTATACTGATCATTATAAGGTTCCATACTTGAATAGTAACGGCAACAGCAGAGGCTTCGACTCCACTGTAGCCGCCCCTGCTACGGCAGCTGCAGCAGCTTCGCAAGACGAACTAACAGAGATGGATGTCAAGACCGATTGGGACAGTGAAGCCCAAAATTGTAAATACCGTCGGGACCAGCGTATACGCCGGCCGCGCATCATAGCTCTAACCGCCAGTGCTCTGGCATCGGATAGGGAAAGGTGCATGGAGGTGGGGATGGATAGCTTTATTACCAAGCCTCTTAAGCCTTCAGAGTTGCAAAGAGCATTACAGAGTAGCCCATAATTATAGTACTGAGGTGGTCAGGTGCTGTAGCTGTTGCAGCATACATGAAAATTCGAGTACATAAAACTGTACTTGATCTTGATTGTAGTTTTCGCGGGTGAATGTGAATGGCTGGTTTACACATGGTTGGCATTTCTGATTGGTGGGAGGCGTTTAGCGAGCCATTGGGTGCGGTCCACGTGGACAGAATAATGCTGCGGCTGCGTGCCCAAGCTGCAGATTGGCAGGAGCATGGCAGAGCGGAGCGGAGCAGCTCCATTACAACTACGTTAATATCGCGTACAGTTCTGGGTGCTTTGAAATTTCAATAAGGGCATTTATCTTAGCGGTAACACTCATGGAGCTCGATCGCTCCCCAGGTAAGCCATGGGTACAAATCGTAACAATCGTATCCTGCGATCGCCCTGGTGGTAACCATTATGCCTAACTGGTTAACATTATTGCCTGAATGGTAATGAACCGTGCATTTCGAACTCCAAACTGGTAACTGATAATTTCAACCGTAGTGTACACCGTACGTACACACTATAACTCGGCAAAATGGTAAAATTTAAGAGAAAATGGTTCGCATTGTAATAAATTTAAATATATAACTTGAAGATGTGATTCTGAAATGAAAACAACAAAGGCTATTTATATTTTGGTGACAGATATTGTTGCAATGGGGATTAGGAACCCCCAAAATCTTATGAATATGATGTCTACATAACTGTAATAGCAGTGAATTTATATCAGTATATTTATTCTATAATATCATCATAGCTGAAGAGTTACATTAATATAATAGCAATAGTATTACACTCATTTATAAATTATTTTGATAAGATTTTTTAGGTTCCTACAATATATTGCAACAGTAATCTGTAAATATAGATAAATATCCTTAATTGTTTTCATTTCAGACTCACATGTTCAGGTTATACATGGAAATTCATTACAACACGAATCATTTCCTCTTATCGATTACTTTTGCCGAGTTATAGTTTGTACGTACGGTGTACACTACGGTTGAAATGATCAGTTACCAGTTTGGAGTTCGAAATGCACTGTTCATACGATTGTTACGATTTGTACCCATGGCTTACCTGGGGGGCGATCGAGCTCCATGAGTGTTACCGCTAAGATAAATGCCCTTTTAAAAACCTCGGAGTTCCATTGCCTGATGTGTTGTGTTGATCCCTGGTTATTCTGGTCCAGCGAGTCTTCCTCGACGCGGCTAGCAAACTTGGTCTAGCGAGGCTTCCTCGACGCGTTGCAGGTGTATCGGGCACCGTGCACTGGCAAGCTCTCTTAGCGCAAATCTCGTCAGATCGTCTGGCCATGGCCTTGCATTTTGCAAACCCCGCTGCGGCTGCTCAAAGCTTCACGACGGCCGTCGGATCTCCATCCAATGGCTGGCGATCACACGAGCCAGTTTTCACCGTGCGCCTTTCGCATTCCATTACCGTTCCCTCCGCCGCATTCCGCGCGACCAGCAATGCCCCTTTGAAGAGCCAGCGCGCCGTCATCGTCATCGCAAGCACCGATCCGTCTAGCGATGTACCGATCTGCACCGCTCTGAACCCGAACATTGCTACATTTTCCGGTTTGGACGGCAGATCCAGGTCCTCCGAAGGCAAACCGTCAAGGCCGTCGGTCGTCACCAGCGCGGCCGCTTCATCTGCCGGCTACGTGACGCAGCTTGGCGGCGGGGGAGGTGACGGCGCAGGGGGAAGCTACGGCGGAGGCGGAGGCGGAAGCGGAGGTGGAGGGGGAGGGGATGGGGTAGGCGGAGAGGGAAATGCGGGGGACGCGGAGAGCGACTACGGGCCGATTCTGGGCTGGGCGCAAGCGGAGGAGGCGTTATCTAAGGCGGGTGTGACTCTACCAGAGGACATGCTAGCGCATGTGAAGGAGCACGGCATTGCGCAGCTGCTGTTGCAGCGATACATCGACCTGCAGGTCTGTGTGACTATATCGAGAATTCATATTTCTACCATTTTTAATCAACGAATGTTGCACGTATCTCCATCCCCGAAACCCCGTCCATGCATTGTAAGGGATCCTGCACGGAGGCATCCTCGCAGCGGCAACCCCTCGTGGGCCTGCCGTGGCGCCATGGCGAAATCTTTGCAAATGTGAATTTATGCGCTCTCTTCCCTCCTTTCTCGTCTCCCGCTCTCTTCCCTCCTTTCTCGTCTCCCGCTTCCTCCCTGTATCTTCCCGATTTCTCCCCCATTCTCTCCCCGTCAGGTGCGCGGGGGCATTCTCGCCGCCGCCACCCGCGCGTTCGCCGGGTTGCGCAACAGGCTGTTGGCGGATCCCGCCTTCCTCTTCAAAGTGTTCACAGAGGTGCGTGTATGTGCTTGTATCTTGGAAGGTACTCTAACGAGGCCTTCCTATATCGAGTTCGCCATGTTGCGCAACAGGTTGTTGGCGGATCCCGCCTTCCTCTTCAAATTCTTCACAGAGGTGCGTGTATCTGCATTTGCTTAAAGAGAAGGTAGTTACTTTTACGGGATGTTCCACTATCGAGTACGAGTACCTTCACCCTCAACAGGCCACTGGCGGATCCCGCATTCCTCTTCAAGGAGTTCACAGAGGTGCGTGCTGTGAAATAGATGTTCCGCTATCGAGCGTGCTGCTGTCGATGCAAAGTTTTCAATGAAAAGGACAATCCAAGATAAACCCCTGTACTGTGGCATAAACCTTCACCCCCAAACCCCGGTACGCTCACGGTCTATGTCCCCGTGCATCCCCTTTTCCCCAACACCCCCCTTTCCCCTCTCCACTCCATCCCCACCACCAGATCGTTATAGACTCTGGCTGTGCCACTTTTGCCGAAGTGCGGAAACGAGGAGACGACTTTTGGAAGGAGTTTGATCTCTATATGTCAGATATCCTCGTGGGATTCGCAGTAGACGCTGCTCTCGTCAGCATGCTCGCCCCCATGGCTAGGTTCAGCAGCAGCGCCGCAGCCTCGGCAGCCCGAGGCAGGCGAGGCTTGGTGCCGCCGGGCCTGGCTGCAGCTCTGGAGGCGCTCCCCAGCAGCATGTTTGAGGCGGCGCTGCCTGGGAGGAGATACAGTGTGGCGCAGAGGGGTGCGACGTGGTTGGTGAAGGGCGGGCAGTATGCTGTGGTGGGGTTCAGCTGCGGTCTGATTGGCCAGGCGATGACAATGGCTATTGTACAACTCAAGAGGTGCGTGTGGGGGGGGGAGAAGTGGGGTGGGTGTGTTGCGGAGCCTCAAAAATGGCTTTTGAGACACCTTAAAGATTGGCCAGGCAATGACAACGGCTTTTGTGCAACTCAAGAGGTGCGTGTGGGGGGGCGGGGGGAGAAGGGGGGTGGAAGGGGGGGGGAGCAAGGGAGATGGGAAATTCAAGAGGGAGGGAGATTGGGTGGGGTTCAGCTGTGGTCTGATTGGTCAGGCGATGACAATGGCTATTGTGCAAATCAAGAGGTGCGTTGTGGTTGCGGGTGGTGGAAGGGGGTGGGGTGGGACGGGGTATTGAAGAATGTGTTTGGGGATAGAAGGAAGAGGGGTGTGGGGGGTGGAAAGAGGGAGAAGGGGGGATGGAAAGTGATGATTCGTGTGTGGGAGGGTGAGATTTGCAAGTCCAGGTGTGTCAAAGGGGATAGGGGGGTTGTAAAGGAATCTCTCTGTGGGGGGCCAAGGGAATTGCGAGGTATGTGAGGGGTGGAACGTGGTGCTTGGTGGTTTTTTCACAATATTGAGGGATGGGTTTGGGTGCGCAGCAGCATCTAGTGTAGGTGACTCAGCTCGTACGTCCCTGCGCCTGTGTGTCTTGCTTTTCTGCATGCATGGGAGCCTTGTGGTGGTTGTTTGACTGCATGTATGGACATGCTGTGCACATACACGTGTGTGTGTGTGTATCTGTGTGTTCCCCTATGTGCGTGTGTGTGTGTGTGCCTCTGTGCTTGTGTGTGACACACTTGGAGAGGCAGGAATTTGAGGAAGCCTGGGGAGCACGAGGAGGAGGATATCAAGATCCCCGGCCTGCTTCCCACAGCCCTGCTCTGGGGTACGATACACTCTTGTCTCTCACGCATGCCTATCTGGTTGTTTTTTAGAATTCTTATAAGACTCGGAGCCTGCTTCTCACAGCCTTACTCGGATACTATATGCACTTAATTCTTCTTCAGAGCATAAGCGTTCCACCCCTCAGCACTAAATATCCGGCCTCCTCCCCACATCTCTGCTCTGGCGTACAACATACACCTTCCCTGCTTCCCAACCATATCCCTAAGCTTTTCCCCTTCACTGTCAATCCACCTTCCCAGGTGGCTTCATGGCAGTATCATCCATCATGCGCTTCATGGCAGTATCATCCATCATGCGCTTCATGGCAGTATCATCCATCATGCGCTATCAGATGAACGGGTTGGAGCGGGTGATCGCTTTTCCAGCTTTTCCCTTGTGTACGGTAACAACACCACTTCTCCCCTCCGCCTACCCCCCTCCTCACACCAGGTGGCTTCATGGCAGTCTCATCCAACACGCGCTATCAGATGAACGGGTTGGAGCGGGTGATCGCTTTTCCAGCTTTTCCCCTGTGTACGGTAACAACACCACTTCTCCCCTCCGCCTACCCCCCTCCTCACACCAGGTGGCTTCATGGCAGTGTCATCCAACACGCGCTATCAGATGAACGGGTTGGAGTGGGTGATCGCTTCTCCAGCTTTTCCCCTGTGTACGGTAACAACACCACTTCTCCCCTCCGCCTACCCCCCTCCTCACACCAGGTGGCTTCATGGCAGTGTCATCCAACACGCGCTATCAGATGAACGGGTTGGAGCGGGTGATCGCTTTTCCAGCTTTTCCCCTGTGTACGGTAACAACACCACTTCTCCCCTCCGCCTACCCCCCTCCTCACACCAGGTGGCTTCATGGCAGTGTCATCCAACACGCGCTATCAGATGAACGGGTTGGAGCGGGTGATCGCTTTTCCAGCTTTTCCCCTGTGTACGGTAACAACACCACTTCTCCCCTCCGCCTACCCCCCTCCTCACACCAGGTGGCTTCATGGCAGTGTCATCCAACACGCGCTATCAGATGAACGGGTTGGAGCGGGTGATCGCTTCTCCAGCTTTTCCCCTGTGTACGGTAACAACACCACTTCTCCCCTCCGCCTACCCCCCTCCTCACACCAGGTGGCTTCATGGCAGTGTCATCCAACACGCGCTATCAGATGAACGGGTTGGAGCGGGTGATCGCTTCTCCAGCTTTTCCCCTGTGTACGGTAACAACACCACTTCTCCCCTCCGCCTACCCCCCTCCTCACACCAGGTGGCTTCATGGCAGTGTCATCCAACACGCGCTATCAGATGAACGGGTTGGAGCGGGTGATCGCTTCTCCAGCTTTTCCCCTGTGTACGGTAACAACACCACTTCTCCCCTCCGCCTACCCCCCTCCTCACACCAGGTGGCTTCATGGCAGTGTCATCCAACACGCGCTAACAGATGATCAACGGCTTGGAGCGAGTTGAGGAGTGATTTCCTGAACACATCTCTTTGTTTGAACACATTCCAAACCTAACCCTTTTTTCCTGAATTCCCCGTCCCCCCACTTGGTTTTCCTCCCAGGTGGATTCATGGCAGTGTCATCCAACACGCGCTATCAGATCATCAACGGCTTGGAGCGAGTAGTCGAGTCGTCACCCCTTGCCCGCAGCATGCCTCTGGGTGCGCGCATCTTCACTGTTCTCATCCGCTTCAGCAACAACATCTTCGGCAGCAGCCAGTTCGTGGAAGTTGCACGGTGGAGCGGCGTGCAATGAAGTGGGTTTTAAAGTCACAGTAGCTTCAAGATTGAGAGTCGACTGACTCAGAGGCCTCTCTGGGTGCGGGCAGCAGCAGCACGGTTCTCATCCGCTTCAGCAGCAAGATCTCCGGAAGCAGACAGCACGTTGAGGTGGCTGGTGGCTTATTGGAGCGGGGCACAATGGGGCAGCTGTTTGTCAGAATGTTCTAGTGCTTACTTTGTGTAGGCTATAGTGGGGTAGCCCATAAGAGGTACAACCCAATTAGGGTTAGTACTTGTATCCAACTTATGTTCAACGCATTCATTCTCGCTCGTTAGTTTGACATGGTTTGAGAGCAGGTCCTTCGCTAGGACCGAATTTTTTTTAGGGCCCACCACAGAGTTGCCCCACTAGTCGCCATGCCGCCCTACCCTACTGACGCGCCGCCCTTCTAGCCGCGGTACCGCCCCTAGCAGCTCGTCGCGCCACCCTTAGCAGCCCACGAGCCGCCCCTGCAGCTAGCGCGCTGCCCCTGCAGTCCGCTCGCCACCTGCTCACAGCCCGCGCGCCGCCCCTGCAGCCCGCGCGTCGCCCGCTTGCGGCCCGCCCGCCGCCCCTAGGCCCGCTCGCCGCCCGTGCGGCCCGCTCGCTGCTCATAAGGCCCGCTCGCCACCCGCTTGCGGCTCGCTCGCCGCCCCTGCCGCCCGCTAGCCGCTTGCTCGCGGCCCGCTAGCCGCCCCTGCAGCCCGCTCGAAGCCTGCCCACAGCTCGCTCGCTGCCCATGCCGCCCGCTCGCCGCTTGCCCTGCGGCCCGCTCACCGCCCCTGCAGCCCGCTTGCTGCCTGCCTGCGGCCCGCTCGCCGCCCTTGCAGCCTGCTCGCAGCCCGCTTGCGGCCCGCTCGCCGCCCCTTCAACCCGCCCGCCGCCCGCTTACGGCCCGCTCACAGCCCCTGCAGCCCGCTCGCCGACCCTTGCAGCCCGCTAGCCGCCTCTTCCGGCCTGCGCGCCGCCCCTTGCAGCCCGCTCGCCGCCCCTTGCAGCCTGCGCACCGCCCTCTGGCAGCCCGCTCGCCGCCCCTTTGCGTGCCCGCCCTGCTGCTTGCACCGCCCGGCTGCTGCCCGCCCTGCTGCTTGCGCCGCCCGGCTCCTGCCCGCCCTGTTGCTGGCCACCCTAGCCGTGCGCCGCCCTGCCCTGCCTGCGTGCTGCTCTGCTGGTAGCGCGCCACCCTGCTCTGCCCGCTATGGCTTCTCTCAGTGTACTCAAGTTCGATCATGAGGGCCGTCCGATCCAGTTCGATACGTGGCTCGACGACTTACAGTTGTACCTACTGAGCGACTCTAGAGACAGCGTTTCGTTGTTAGACCACACGTATGGAGCCTCTCTCGCCCCTCCAGCCACAGCTGACAGTGCGACTCGCTCACACTGGCTTACCCGTGACGCTGCTGCTCGCTTAGCCGTTCGCAACCACCTGCCGTTAGCCGAACGCGCTCACTTCGGACAGCACAAGACTGCTAAAGCACTGTACGACGCTGTAGTCGCCCATTACTCCTCCTCTGCCACTGCTGCTCTTCGCCGTCTTCTACTGCTCACGGTGTGTCTCAGGTAGACCCACTCCCCGGGGCTGTGCGTGTCGAGGTCACTGTAGACTCAGGTGCTACTCGAGGTGCTGCGTCTGGAGGTGCTGCGTCTGAGGGTGCTGAGCCTGCGGATGTGGAGCCTGCAGGTGCTGAGTCTGAGGGTGCAGGGTGTGGGGGTGCTGAGCCTGGGGGTGCGGAGCCTAGGGGTGCTGAGCCTGCGGGTGCGAAGCCTGGGGGTGCTGAGTCTGAGGGTGCGGAGTCTGGGGGTGCTGAGCCTAGTGGTGCTGCTTCTTCTGGAGGTCCTGCGGGTGCCTCGCCACGACTGTCTCCCCGGCCGGAGCCTCTCTCCCCGCAGCAGCTGCGCGAGTGGTTTGCTCAGCGCACACGCCTTCAGAGTGGGGCTGCTGGAGCTGGAGGCTCTGCCGCTGGAGGCACTGGAGCTGGAGGTGTTGGAGCTACTATTCTTGGAGGTGCTGGAGGTCCTGCTGGAGCTGGAGGTACCGGGGGTGCTGGAGCTGCTGGTCCTGGAGGTGCTCGTACTAGGGGTACTGGAGCTGCCGGGGCTGGTGGCGTTGGGGGTGCTAGAGCTGGAGGAGCTGGAGCTGGAGACCCTGGCGCTGGAGGCGCTGGGACTGGAGGCACTAGATTTGGAGACGCTGGAGCTGGAGGAGCTGGAGCTAAAGACCCTGGCGTTGGAGGCACTGGGACTAGAGGCATTTGAGCTGGACACACTGGAGCTGGAGACGCTGGAGCTGGAGGAGCTGGAGCTGGAGGCACTTGCGCTGGAGGCGCTGGAGCTGTTGCCCCTGGAGCTGGAGGTGCTGGTGCTGGGGGTGCTGTGTCTGGCGGTACTTGTGCTGGAGGCACTGTGCAGCGGCACCCGTTTTTCGTTCTGCCGCAGCCGTCGTCTTTGCCGCCACCTGATTCGGTCCTTCGCCAGGTTCTTAGTCTCCCGTCTTCTACTGGCCTTCCTCCTAGCTTACTGAGTCCACCGCCTCACCAGACGCAACCACAGTTACAGCAAGACTCCCCACTACCTGCTCCTTCTCCTTATGCTGAGCAGACAGACTCTCCTTTAGAGCGTCGTGAGCCTGCGTCTCGTCCTGCCTCGCCTATTCGCGCTGTTCGCACTAGTCGTCGGGTTCCTCGTCTGCGTCCTCCTCCTGTCCCCGACACCCACGTTATGGCACTTCGTCCCTCCTTTGTTCCACTGCGAGTTCCTCTGCCGCCTCCTCCTGAGTCCTCTCTTCCTGCCGTTCCTGACCCTGAGTCTGACCTAGCTCGTGCTGCCAGTCCCACTGTCTCTCGTCTCCTCGCCAGTGTTGTCACTGACCTTTCTTTTGAGTCCACTGCTGCGTCTGCCCTAGTTGCTGAGCTTGTTGACTTTGCTGCCGCCTGTCGTCTCGACTACGCCACTAGTCTTGTTGCTGAGTCTGAGTCTGACTGTCCTCCGACCGTCGGGGGTGAGTGTGCTCTTTGTACGTACGTCCTTGAGGACAGGCAGATTACGGGTTCCTACTCCTCTCAGTGGCAGACAGCTATGGACGCAGAGATGGCATCCTGGAAGTCCACAGGCACCTACGTTGACACAGTTCCCCCTTCTGGGGCGAACATAGTCGATTGCATGTGGATTTTCAGGGTGAAGCGGCTGCCGGGTTCTCCGCCTGTCTTCAAGGCTCGTTACGTTGCACGAGGCTTCTGTCAGCAACAGGGAGTTGACTTCTTCCAGACCTTCTCCCCTACCCCGAAGATGACCACTCTTCGGGTGCTGCTGCACGTCATAGCCCAGCATGACTACGAGCTGCACTCCCTTGACTTCAGCACAGCTTTCTTGCAGGGCAGCCTGCACGAGGAGATCTGGCTGCGCCGCCCACCTGGTTTCACTAGGTCGTTTCCTGCAGGTACCCAGTGGAGCCTCCGGCGGCCAGCCTACGGTCTCCGTCAGGCGCCTCGCGAGTGGCACGACACGCTGAGGACGATACTTGCGGCTCTAGGGTTTGCTCCTTCGACTGCTGACCCGTCGCTGTTTCTACGCACCGACACTTCGCTGCCGCCGTTCTATGTCCTCGTGTACGTCGACGACTTGGTATTTTGCCACTGCTCACACTGAGGCGCTGGCCCTTGTGAAGTCGGAGCTGCAGAAGAGACACACCTGCACTGACCTGGGTGAGTTGCGCAGCTATCTTGGCTTGCAAATCACCCGGGGCAGGGCACGTCGCACCATCAACCTGACTCAGTGACACATGGTGCACCAGGTCCTTCAGCGCTTCGGCTTCCGGTACTCCTCGCCACAGTCCACTCCTCTGCCTACCGGTCACTCGCTCTTAGCTCCACCTTCGGACGAGTCCGTAGAGCCGAGTGGCCCGTATCCAGAGCTTGTGGGCTGCCTCATGCACTTGATCACCTACACTCGACCTGACCTTGCCTACCCTCTTAGCATCCTGACACGCTACGTTGCGCCCGGGAGACTCCGACCAGAGCACTGGGAGGCTGCTAAGAAGGTGTTGCGCTACTTATGCAGTAAATCGGGCATGGGGCTCGTGCTTGGAGGACGGGGTTCATTTGTCCTCACTGGACACGCAGACGCGTCTTGAGTTGACGACTTGGCTACGCAGCGGTCGTCACAGGGTTACACCTTCAGCCTTCGTTCCGGCTGTGTTTCCTGGCAGTCTACCCGCTCGTCTTCGGTTCTCAGTTCCAGTTGTGAGGCTGAGATCTACGCAGGGGCCATGGCTGCACAGGAGTTACGCTGGCTCACCTACCTGCTGACCGACTTGGGGGAGCAACCTCGTTCTCCTCCAGTTCAGTACGTAGACAACAAGGCCATGATTGCCTTGTGTTAGGAGCACAGACTGGAGCACAGAATGAAGCACATCGCTCCTCGGTACTTCCTTGCTCGAGAGTTGCAGCAGCGTGGTCAGCTCCGTCTTGCATACGTGGCCACTCGGGCCAACACTGCTGATATATTTACCAAGGTACTTCAGTCTGGTGATCATCAGCGTTTCTCTACTGTGTTAGGCCTTATGCCTTCTTTGCTTCACTTGCTCACTGCGTGACTCTGTTGTACTGTGATCGGTATATATATCTGCATGCTTACACTTGCAAGGGTATGATCACTGTTCTGTTTGTTCTCTTTTATATAACACTGCATGTGAACTGGCCTTGTGGCCCTTTGCTTGCGCTCGGAATGTGTGGTGACTTCGTGATCCACCCTAAGCTTGTTTTGCTTTTCTTGACTGGTCTTGTGACCAGTTGTTCTCCCCCAATTTGCCTATGGGGGTGTATCAGAATGTTATAGTGCTTACAGTTGTGCAGGCTATAGTGGGGTAGCCCATAAGGGGTACAACCCAATTAGGTTAGTACTTGTACCAAACTTCTGTTCAATGCATTCATTCTCGTTCGTTAGTTTGACACTTCTGGAATTGACCCGACTAGTAACGGTAGGTTCTTACCGTAATA